AGAGAGTCCACTTGGAGCCAGTTGTCTTCATCTCACAGCTGCATGTCCTCTAGGTGAGTGTCCTTCATCCGCTCCTCTCACCTTCCTCATCTGTGCCTGCAATTGTCGGCTGGGTTCACAGCTTGGGAGTGGCGTTCACATTTACATTACATTCACATTTACATTTACATTTACATTTCTCCAGTTGATTCTTTTACCGTAACATCTCAGTTTAAGTGAAGTAATAAGGTCATTGGCACAAATGTGGAAAATGCAACAAAATGCACAGATATTACAGGATTTCAAAGATGTTCAAAGAGTCGACACTAAGTTGCTCAGCTGATGTGTTTCTGTACACCCTATTCCTGAAGCAATGGCCGCAACCCAGGAATATAACCTGAGCCGGGGCGCCAACCCATCGCAGGGCACACACACCGCTCACAACCACAGACAATTTGGCAACTCCAGTTCATCGTACCCCACCCGCGCAGACCCGGGGGCAAAACCCGAACCCTGGTTCCAGAGGAGAGAGGCGATAGCATTAGCTACTACGCCGCCCGTGTCACATCTTACACCTTTTTTTTCATTTATATAACTCATGGTGTCGTTGGATCGATTAAGTTTCTCGGGTGAAAACCAGCAACGTTTTGGCTTCAAATTTATGTCCATAACTACTATGCCACGTAGTGTCCACAACAGGCAGTAACACCGAGCAGTCTGGGTCCTTGTTGCAGACACAGAAGGTCACATCCACCACTTCCGCACCACATACGTTTGTGCTCTTTCTTCTTTATTCTGGTGTCACTCATGCGTTATAAAATAATATAATCTGTTTCCAAGGAAAAAGGCGTGTTTAGCCCGCCAGGCCTAGAAAGGGCTCGATACAATCAATAAGAGTGAAAATGACGCCACCTCTAGCTTGCAGGAAGTGAACATATATTAAGATTTTCACAGACACAAAGTAATTTTCCTTTAAGTGTTTCCAATCGCAGTCAGAACTGCAAGAAAATGAGTTTTAGCTGCACTTAGGGCCTTTGCACCCGTGTCTATTTTTCTCTGACACGTCTAGGATCACACTCAGGGTCCCCAGGAATCATCAGAGGTCCAGAGCAGGAGCCTGCGTCATTTCTGCCCTTATTGGGGGGGGGGGCGACACACGATGTAATATGTTTGCTGACTGTCCAGGTCTCCATGTCTCTGAAATCCACCCGTGAACACACCCATTGATTGCTGGTGATTTATTGTTAGTTTAGAGCTGGCAAGTCCAGTCAGATTCCGTGTGACACACCTCACAACCCGTCACGACGTATCTCAGCAACAACTGCGGCACTGAAAGTATCACCCACAAACACCGTCTCATTTGACGGCTGCCGATGACGATGACTCAGCTACTATCAGAATTAAAAGTCAAGCAGCAGGTGTGACTTAAAGAGGAACTAAAGGATTAGACTGTACAGCACATTGATCGTCGAGCTGGGTGTGATCCTCCACGTCATCCGCTCCTTAATAGCCCAGGAGAACAGCACAGTAATAATATTTACAATGGGTTAATTAAAATCCAGAATTAAAGCTGGTCTTGTTTGCTCAAATAACGACATTCAACCTAAAGCTTGTTTTGTAATTAAGCACCTGGGCGTCGCCGGATTGAAGGCCAGGGCAAAGCTTCTGTATCCTCTGGTGGTTCAACATCTAACGTGCATGTGGTCTGGGCAGAAATGCATTGGCTGCCAGACAAGCAGAACGAAGGGGAAGTGACACCACATGAATTCCAAGCGTGATTGTAATTCAAACCTCACCCACCTCTCGCATTGTCCCCAACATGACCAGTGCCTCCCTGCCATTTACCTGAGTGAGTGTGGGAGGACCTAGCTGGTATGTTACCAGGTCCAGATCCATACACACCCTCATGATGCTGGGAGATTCCTAAAGACATCAGCCTGTGACAAAAATCCTTGTTCGTACAGTAAACATCTAAGACCTTTGGTTCCTATAGGAGAAACCTTCTCCTGTTCTTCTTACCCCCCCAGCTCTCAAATTCCAGCATCAAGACCCAGAGGCGATTCCAGCTGTTGAAAAGATCAGCGGCTCAGTCAAGTTTACCTGGGGCTTGACTTTTGCCATCTGGGCTAAAATACCGGCGGCTCTAGCCCCGAATGATCAAACTTAACGACGCCCATGTTAAGACCCCAAAAACACGCAACATACATGCGCAAAAGTCCACCTTTTAACTTTTCTTTCTTATTCTTTTATTATTATCACACTTTTAACTGGAGTAGCTTTTTACTCCGGGGATAGAAGACCTGATTCCACACAGAATCTGCGGAATTGTAATTAAAGTGCAGAAGCGATTCCCAGAGTCCAGAGCGAGGGGGGGGGACACAGTCACAGTCACACATGCTCACAGGCAGGGTGTTAAGTAACACTGCACCTTGTGTACGACGCATCTCATTTCTCAGTCAAATGTAGACAACCTGCTCTCTTTGGTTCGGCAAAGTGAATTTAAACAATTATATTTTAAGAGAAAGGTCTACCCATCCACTCTGGTAACGATGGCAGTGCCTGTTGGGAAGAAGAACATGTTAACTGTGCAGGACATGCACACGTCCAGCTGCTCTGTGCCCTTTATGTATGTGGGCTTATGTATTGGGAGTGTGATGTCACCAACTGAATAATGGTATGAGAGAGAGAGAGAGAGAGAGAGAGAGAAATAAGAATGAATGAGCCAGCGGATGAATGAAGACATAATCTAAGCATTAATACAGAAGAATCTATGGCCTGGCGTAGGAGTTTAAGACAAGATCCGGTATAAAAAATTCAGGTCTGCAGTTAGCGCAAAGGGACTTTGATGTAGATGATGATCACACACGAGACACTGATATTCTGTCCATAGCAGCGAGGGAGTGTGGCAGGTCTATGCTCAGACATGTGGACCAGCAGATCCACTTAAACCTGACAAGTTGGAATAGCTTTTAGTAACAGCACCAGCTGGAGATATGGTCACGTCCCTGTCCATTATCAGACCCAACACCCGCTGCGAGCCCCTCAAACTGCTCCATGGGCAGATTCACGCCCACCTCCTGGGCACTTTGCTCTTTTCCAGGGAAATTTCTGCTCCCTGCAAAGCGGCCAATCTCAAGTGGCATCCCGGCCTCAGCCTGGTCATGTGACCTATGGAACACGGACACCCGTGACCGCAAGCGCTTGCCTCTGTGTTTTTAATCTTGTTTTCTCGCTTTATGGTAAAACACGACACCTCGCCATGTGTCATAACGGAGGCCTTTTATCATCTCCATTATTTGGAAAAGAAAAATCGTTACGTGTCCAGAGAAACTAATGGGCTGGTGGTTTGAAATGCGGTTCAGCCCCTCGCAGACCGAGCTCAGCGCCATCGTCAGCCGCCTCGTCATTAACCCATTAGAGGCACTTTAGGTGCAGGCAGGAGGAGCAAGCTCTGCCTTCACAGAAACGAAGCAGGCCTTGGCAGGCGGCGGACGCCTGCCTTTAGGGACCAAACCCCTTAAAGTGCTGCATTCCCTGCTTTCTATCCCATCTCTTCCAGTTTCATTATAACAAAAGATGACCTGCACAGCAAAAAACCTCTGGATGCTTCCGGATGTTAAGCAGGCCTCTCTCTAACCGGCGATCACGAGCAGGCCTGCGTGCCGCCATGAATCCGGCAGCGCCAGCGGCCGCGGCTCTCATCTGTCTTGATGAGATCAGAATGTTTACAGACACTTTCGTCGCGCCTGACCATGTCCTGTGGGAGGCGCCGTATAACCCCGAATTGGTTTGCACATGCTAATGGGCGAATGATGGCCAATGCAATGTGCAGTGCAAGTCACATGACGACTGATTGGCAGTACAAGTCACGTGAGGACTTATTGCTGATGTGCTGCAGCTGCAAATGTGCACACGGTCTGTTTTTTTGGAGAAAAGGCAAATTGCAAGTTTTGTGTAATTTAGAACTCAAGATTTAATCTGGTAAAACTGCTAAAAAAAAAAAATGAAACAGTTTTTCTGTGATACTGGGGGAATTTGAGTGCTAATGAATTAGGATAAGTGATAGATAGATAGATACATTTTTTTATTATTATCTATTATCTTTAGGGTTATGGGCTGAAATGAAGGTTCTGTTGTCATATGTAATATCACAAAAAAATGATTTCATTAAAAAAAATTCAGCTGTATAATTAGTTCATGTAAAAAGCCATTTAAGTCACCTTAAGTCACGTTTGCAGGGCAGGTGCCCAATTTCCTGAAAAATGGACAAATTCGGGAGTGCGGGGTCATTGATGATGTCACATGGATGAGGGCGGGGCTTGGAGAATATCCAGGCTGTCCATCTTGCTGTCAGGGGTGGGACAAAATCAGGCCAGTCAGGTACTGGGGGGGTTGTCTGTTAAATCAGACCAGCCAATTAGATACCTGTGAATTGTTCCATCTGGATATAAGATGAGCCCGTAGGTCACTCCGTTCTTCCTGTAAAATATGGTCCTTATCAGAGTGAATTATGGTTATCTGGCATCACAGTGACAGAATGTATTCAGTGGCAGTTAGTGACATCGTAATTCTCCATTTGTGCTATCAGCGTTTGTTTTGTTATTTCACTGGGGAAAACGGCCCACAACATCGGCAGATTTCGCCTACGTGCTGTGGTGCTGAGCTGTAGTCCCTCTATGCAAAAGTACTCTAATCTATATAAAATAATAACAAGATAATATTTAGTCCACTCTGGATGATTAAACAACTAACTCTATTAAATAATCGCCGCCGGCAGGTTTTCTTTAATACGCAGCCCGTGTTAACATAATTTTCTGCGCTCTTCTCTGATATTGAGACCGTAAAGTAAAGCTAAATTAAAATGAAAGGCGGCACGGTAGCGGGTCCGGGCTACCGGGAACCGCGGCTCGTCCATTCGCGCTGCCCCCGCCGGGCCAAAGCGCGTCCCTCAGCCCCGCAACTCTCGCGTTACCGGCCATCTTTCCTCTCTCTCTCTCTCTCTCTCCCTCCCTCTCTCTCTCTCTCCACCTCCAGCACCACTCCCCTCCCTTTCCGTGTCTGTTCCTCTCGCTTCGCTGTCAGCGCACGATAACTCGTATCTCCTCCCGAAACCTGAGCGCCGGTGTCCCCCCCCTCCCCGGCCCCGCACGCAACATGGCTACGATCGTCACCTCCACCAGGTTCACGGACGAGTACCAGCTTTACGAGGAGCTCGGGAAGTAAGCCAGCGCGGCCATGTATAGCGCCTTTGCTATTGCTTACTGCCCAGGAAATCGTTGTCTTGTGCTGTGAGCCTTTGGGGCTTTTTGACTGTAACAGGCAGACAGGGCAAGTGAGGGCTGATCGCGCGGGGTCGGGTCCGGGCTTGCGGGCTTGCATGCATATCGATCGCTTTGTTGTGCTTTGTGCATGTACCGGGTCTTAAGGATGCATGAAATACGTGCACGCTTAACAGTGAACTTGAGTGCGTTTCATGAGGAAGTGTCCTCAACCTGAGGAGGGGAGGGGGGGGCGGTTTGCGTTTAATCTGCGTTTCGAAACGCTGCACTTAAAGATCGGCGCATTTCTGATGGTCCGCCGTAGCAGCATCACCCGACGGGGAATGCGGGCAGCTGCGGGCACCGGAGAGCCGAGGAAGAAGGGCTTCATCCCTTTATCCATCCATGTTATACACCCACCCCCCTCCCGTCAGAAGCGCCTTAATGTCAAGTTACACGTAAGCGCTGGGTGCCCGGCGGGGAGGCGAGGCGGTGCGGAGTGTTACGAGGGTCTCTCGCCGATATCGGGGGGAGATTTAGGGCACAAACAGCGTTACTGTCCCGTCGCTCCTTTTTTTTTCCTACCCTCCCCACAAAGACCCCCGCCCCCTCCCCTTTCTGCCCAGGCCTTGTGGAGCCCGAGTCCCTCCCTGCCATAATGTAGCAATACGCCTAAGTTTTAAAAGCATTTGTAAAGTATTTTCGAGCTTTTCCTTGGTGGGGCAGGCTCAGGAAAAGCAGGTTTGCAGGTGTAGGTGCCGCACCTTCGCCGCCGCACGTGTGTCCCCTGGCTGCTGCTTTACTAACCCCCCCTTAACCAGGTAACCTTCTCTAACTAGTCTCCGGTTACTCTCCCTTTTCCCGCAGGGGTGCCTTCTCTGTGGTCCGCAGATGCGTAAAGAAATCCACCGGGCAAGAATATGCTGCTAAAATTATCAACACGAAGAAACTTTCGGCAAGGGGTAAGGCAATCGACAGAAGGAATTATAATGAAATAATAATTACGGCCCCTCCCTAGTCAGAAGCCTGTGTTGTTGTTGTTTCATTATTATTATTATTATTATTATTATTATTATTTTATTATTATTATTATTATTATTATTATTATTTATTTCTTCATCAAACGCTGCTTTCGGTCTCTTGTGCATGGTTACCAGTTGCAGGCGCAGTCACTATGGCTTTAGTATAAATCGCTGGCACTCACTGCCTTCTGATCGCTCTCCTTCGTCACTGCCGCCCCGTCCTGCTTTGCACAGCAGCTTGTGGTGTTGTAAATGCTTTAAGCTGGGGGGGGGGGCAACTTTAGTGTTAACGTCATGTGTTTGACGTGTTTTGTCGGCCATTAATACCGTAAGACAATTTCCCTGAGAATTTACCGGGCAGGTTAATAATTTTGCGGAGGTTTTGCAGTGTCTGGCGCGGCAGCGTCAGTGCTGCGGGAATTGGTCTCTGTCTGGGCCGGCAGCGGTGGAGGCTGCTCCTCGCTGGCGCCCCCGCCAGTGGTGACACGCCGATGACACTGCAGCGACAGTGAGCCTCACACGGGGGGCTGGAGACTGTGGAGAGCTGGTCCCGGATCGGTGGGTGACACTTTGGGGGTGTAGCCAGTGTGTGGCATCCAGCGGCAGGATACATTTTAAATTATATTTTAGTCATTTGTCCCTCAAATGTAATGTTACCTATTATTATAATGTTACCTTTTACTCTTTTGCTGGATATTCTGTTCTTACAAAGCGTAGCAGTAGTTTAGCCTTAGAGTCTGTCTAGGGCTTTGAACATATAACCTGCTATTTGATTACATATGAACACTGTGTGGTATGTGAGGTAAAAGCAGAGGGTCTTGCCTCTGCAAAGATAAATAGTGATGTTGTTGGATTTCATGTACTCCCCGTTATGCTGCTTGTAGTGCATTTTAGTGTCCACTGGAGCAGTGATGTCACCACCCCAGATTCCAGGCGAGGCTTCTGATTGGCTCCCCTGGTGGGTGGCTTATGGCAGAGTAATTTTACTGCTTTCTTGGGGTGCTTGTGCTGGCTGGCAGTGCCTGTTGGGGTGGCGGTGCGATCTGTGGGTGGGCCATGCTCTTGGACCCCGGGCTCCGAGTTCCCACCGTGGTGTGGAGTTTGGCTGGTGGGGGTTAGACAGGGCCTGGGATTTGGGGTTGGTGATGGGGGCAATGGCTACATTGAGGGGTGTCTTTAGCTGTGCTTTGCTTGTGCGCCGAGTTTTCCGGCTGGCCGTATATAAACCGAATGGCCAAAGCGTCACTATAGACACGCTCATTAAACAGAAGCCTCATTCTAAGCGTCACGTAATGCGTCTGGTTTGTATGGTATCCATGTGTGTAGCTCAAAATGCGTAAAATGGTGGATATGGTACCAGTGATGAGCGCCTGTGGGGCCTGTAGTGTGGGCAGATGAAATCCAGCAGGTGGCGCTGCAGTTAAGGAACTGTATCTGTGCCACATGGTGCTTCTGATTACGTCAATTAGCCCAGATTACTTTTTTCGCTAATAGAAATGTGCCGTTTTTTGTGATCAACATGACTTGTATGGCTTTGCTTACATGTAACTCGCCCCTTATGCTGACTTGGGCATAAAATAATCCCCCCACCCCCACTTTTCCAATAGTATTGAACAGTGTCCTTCTGCTGAGAGACACAGCGGTTTCTAGGGCAGTGTGGGAAGCGTGTCTCTGATGCCTGCGTTCAGGGTGTATAACATGCTTTTAATCTGGATTAACCCCCCCCCCCTCACTGGTTACAGTGCCCACTTCCCACTGGGTAAAATGGGGCAGTGATTGATGGGGATAAGCGTCCTGCCCATCCTGGGATTTGGCCCCTGGCCATTCAGATCCTGGGGGCCACATAGGCCGGCGTGACGCTGATATTTGTTGTCGATGCGCTTGCCGTGGGTCTGCCATTCCTCCTATCGCCATATTAACCACGAGTATGCCGCCGCCACACTTGCCGTAGGCCTGCCATTCCTCCTGCCACCATATTCACCGTGTGTATGTTGCCGCCACGCTCGCCGTGGGCCTGCCTTCCCTCCTGCTGCAACATTTACTGTGCAAATGTCGCCGCCGCACTTACTGCATGCCTGCCATTCTTCCTGCCACCACATTCTCCGTGTGTATGTTGTCGCCACGCTTGCTGTGGGCCTGCCATTCCTCCTGTCGCCGTATTAACCGTGCACATGTCGCAGCAGGTCCGCCATTCCTCCTACTGCCATATTACCTGCGTGTATGTCGGCGCCGGCACGCTTGCCCTGGGCCTGCCATTCCTCCTGCTGCTGTATTAACCGTGTGTAAATTCATGCAGGCCTGCCATTCCTCCTGTCGCCATGCGTATGTTGCCGCAGGACTGCCATTCCTCCTGCCGCTGTATTAACCACATACATTTTGCTGGCAGTCTTGCCGCAGGCCTGCCATTCCTCCTGCCACCGCATTAACTGCATGTATGTCGCCGCTACATTCACAGCGGGCCTGCCATTCCTCCTGCCACCGCATTAACTGCATGTATGTCGCCGCTACATTCACAGCGGGCCTGCCATTCCTCCTGCCACCGCATTAACTGCATGTATGTCGCCGCTACATTCACAGCGGGCCTGCCATTCCTCCTGCCACCGCATTAACTGCATGTATGTCGCCGCTACATTC